TAAAAAATGTCGCGCACGTTCCACTTCAGAGAAAGAATTCATCGTCTTCCCAGGCGTCTGAGCGCCCGACCAGCACTTTTATTGCTCAAACCCATCTAGAGCCAACCGATCTAGCTTATGAGCATTATCGTCGCCGTCGTACTGTGCGGGTGGACCTGCTCTCTCTCTTTCGCCCCACTCACACTCCACCATGATGCAACCATTTTGAGCCACGCTAGTCTTATACGCACTCTTAAATCGATTATCTACTCCAAATCCAGCCTCGTGATGTCCTGGACCCACATTATGCATCCGAAAGAAACTGAAGTGGTGAGTTGGTCAGCTCGATCGTGAAGGGAAAATATGCATTCGGCAGGCAAGCGCGGATGTCGTGTGGAACTTGGCTCAGTCATCTATATCCATGAACGTGAGTGAGCCTGTGACACACTCATGCGATTTTGCACTGTGGACCTAAATGCCATACCAGACTGCGCGCTGTAATGCGATAGTCTCAACGTCGACACCGATGAGTCCTCGATTCCACTCCGCACCTAAACAAACAAACACCTCACCGCACACCGATCAGCTAGCTCACTGGCCCACTCGAGATCCTTAGCCTTGATTCACCGTTGGGCAGCATTGGAATGAGCTAGCGCATCACAACAATGAATCATCTGTCAGCGAATATTTTGATACATGTGGGAATTGGCTGGTCAGAAGTGAGGAGAAAATATGCCTGACTGTGCGGACGCGGCCGGGATATGATCTGACCCATCTAGGAAAACTGGCTTGTGCACAATACGACTGACCCAGGCAAGACTTCCTTTGACGCTTGAACTATGTAGTACGCGCGTGTGTGGTGTTTCTGTGAGTCCGAGGCTGGTCGTATTGCTATCGCAGTCGAACACGCTCGTAATCACACATTGTCATGGTTCGTCACTGAATGACCAGCTCAAACAGTCGGATTCGTAAATGTACCACAACAAGGAATTCTAATATCTCATCATCGTCATCTCTTCTCCGCTTCATAGTGTTATCGAAGCGTGCTCGACTAGATAACACTTTGCTGTGCTGAACGAAGCCCTTCCTCCATCTCTCCCGCCCTCTCTTACCTACTAACTATGAACTCACTCCACGCACCACGTCATCCACCACTCTCTCTACAACCATCACACATCTGGCATGACCAGCCATCTGCATCCATGCTTTCGAAGTACTGTTATCATTCCCGTCATACATACGACGCATACCAAGTTCGTCGCTAAGTTTCACACCAATGCTCAGAATGCATAAGAAAAAAGATAATTACAATGAGAGGCATGTACGGCATATACCAACAATCCCGCACAGTGAACCTGTTTTCCCATTTTTGTTGGGTCCTTTCAATCCGTACACTGGGCGGATTCTGATATTTTGTTCCTTTTGCACCAAATACCCACCCATGACCACGCCCTGACTGGCTCTAAATCTATAGTTAGGCGGGTGGCGGAATGAGAATGCGCAAAGAAGAAAAAAAAGGTAGTTGGGAATCGTAATGGGTCGTAGCATTATCGTACGCCTTAGGTAAGCGCTGTCATAGCTGCCCTTGGCAGTATAGGGTAAGAGCTGGACTTTGTGAACAGTCTTGTAGATGTTTGGGCTGAGCGCGCTAATGAAAACACCGGTCTGAAGAGAGAGAGTGAAAGAAATCTCATACACTGCTTGTTAAGCGACTTGCCGTTCGTACTTGATACTTGGTACTTATTCAACGACAAGTCGCATATCAGAACTCTGACGTCGCACGTCCGCACCAACCTGCACCAATTTTGCTTTTCCATCGGCGCCGGGTTTGCTTGTATGCTCCCGGATCCTTCGTCTAGTGAGTAATTAGTGGCTTGTGGACTGCTATATGCATGTTTGTATATGGAGGAGATATGGAGGAGAAATTGGCAAATTGGGTTAGTTGTTTGATCTGGGGGGTTTGGGCTTTTGTGTGTGTGTGTGTGTGTGTGTGTGTGTGTGTGTGTGTGTGTGTGTGTGTGTGTGTGTGTGTGTGTGTGTGTGTGTGTGTGTGTGTGTGTGT